GGAGAGGGGAGGGGGAATCCCTGTTGGGAGTGGTGACTGACAGTTGTCACAAACAGCTTGTTTGTCACAGGCCGGCTCTAACTATGAGAATGAGTGGAAATCACTCATAGTTCTCCTTTATGTGTTTCTACCAATCTGTCTGCATGCAATATACTTTCTTTAAAGAGCATCTTTATATATGATAATTGGGGATTTCCTTTTCACCTGAACAATATGTATGCAGAATCATTTCAGCAGCTTTTGAGTGGAGCTACCAGTGTTACTGACAATTTGTGATGAGCTATGTTTTTGGAAGTTTAAATGTAACTCCATTTAATCATCCCATCAGTTCCCAGGAGATTTCTATAAAAAAATGTATAAAAAGAAAGTGCTCAGGGCACATGATCTTATTAACAGAAGGTGGTAGGATAAAGAATGAAAAATTGAATATCCTTAATATCCATAATTAAATTTCAAGTATGACGTTATAGGACATCAATAACATGTTTACTTTATAATGCAAATGATGGAATCATTTTAGATACAGAAATAATTTTATAATAAAATAGATACATTCAGGATGGAAAGAACTATATTATAGCACATAACAAGACTGTTATTTTAGGTTTGCATATCAATGGAGTACCCCTCGTTGGAAACATTTTGGATCTATGGTCATGATCTATGCAAGTGAGCATTTTCTATTTATTATAGGTATTATTACAGCATTTACCCTTTAAACAGCACTTTGCATATTTTACAATCACATCAGTTTCTGCCCTGAGGACTACTTCTGACAAAGTCAATGGGACGAAATGCATAGGGAAGAGTCAACACACAGTGATATCATCACACATGGAGGGGGCACATGCACGTGTTGTTTTATGACTGAGTGAAAATTGTGGTGATTGAAGTGCACAAGCATTTTTTTTTACACCAGTTGTACAATATAAGGATTAGATTTGCACATGGCATATATTTGCACATGCTGCACATACAGTATAGTATACACACTGATATTTTGCACATAATATATGCACAAATATTGTGTTTTAATTTATTTCACTAAGCACTGTTTAATATTGGTTTATACTCATCTGCCATGTGTTATTTATACAGCTGCTAGTGATTTGAATGTATTTCACAAACCTTTTTATCATGGACTTTTATACACATGTTTTTATTCATATTGCCTCAACGATTTACACAACACTTTACATACTCAAGGAGCTTACAGTCTAGGGTCCCTACCACACATGAATACATACACATACAAGGGCTAATTAATACAGGCACCAACCTGTTCAATTCCTGGTCAAGACACTATCTGCAAGGAGTTTACATGTTCTCCCTGTGCTTGCGTGGGTTTCCTCCAGGTACTCTGGTTTCCTCCCACACTCCAAATACATGCTAAAAGGTTAATTGGCTCCTAACTAAATTGGCCCTGTATATATGCACATGAGAAAGGAACCTTAGAGTGTAAGCTACTTGAGGGCAGGGAGTAATGTGAATGTGCATGTAAAGCACTGCGTAAATTGTCGGTGCTGTATTAATACCAATGGTAAATAAAATTAACCTAGCATTATGCCTTTTGAGTATGGGAGAAAACCCATTACAAACATAGAAAGAACATGCAAACTCCATGCAGGTAGTGTGCTTGTTGGGATTTGAGCCGAGGACCCCAGGGTAGAGCAGCTGCCATTTGCAGTAATATTGGCAATTGTTTAAAGTGAAGTTGTAGCAATTCCCAAGCCCAATTAAAGCCTTGGTTATCATATTTTTTATAGCGTTTATAGAGTTAGGCTGCGTAACAGGTAAATTATATTTTGTATAGTAAGTGAATAAAACTGTTAAAGCTCCCCTCTGCTGACATCACGCTGGAGAGAAGGATTTCAGTGGTCTGACACTCCCTCTGTAAAGTACTTTAATCAACAGCATTGCTCAGGAAACAAGTGTTTTTGATTGGAGTTCGGTGCATGGGATTATTGGACCACTGTTCTTTTTGTGTAAGAACAGTGTCTCTGCTCTTCAGTGTGCTGTTGGCACAGGGCAGCTTTGACAGTTCTAATCACACACACGTAGTAAAAAAATAAATTCCATTTTTTTTGCTCACAGTCTGATTGGATAACAAGTATAATAAAAAATATTTTAAATGGCCTTTAAAGTGGAAGTGAGGTTTTTTTTAAAAATGGCTAACTGGCAGGCTTTCTGTGACAGGAGAGACTGTGTAAGTCTATTCTGCCCAAAAAAAACTGATACTTGCACAGGTTTAACAAGGTCCACAAGGTCCTGTGCCATTTGCATCAGTTTCATTATGTTGGACTGGCCAATCAAGGGGCTGAAAACTGCTGAACTCAAATGAAGACTGGGTGAAGATGGAAGCACTGGTGATGTAGGGGAGAATAGACAATGCACCATTGGAATGGCCATATGAACACATTATGGCAAGATAAGATTTTTTGCAAGCATTGCCTATAATGAGTGGCTTGGGAAGAGGTTCTCTTGCTATATAGACATACAATGCAAAATATCCACTACATTTCTTCACAGTCCACTATTGCAAATCCACCACAGCTGGGAGGGATTAGATCCTACTGATGTAAAGCGGCTAATGATTGATGGGAAGAAGGTCTTGTAGCTTCCCAAGTACACTGAGTGGCCAGATTATTATGACCACCCCATCAGTACTTCGTTGGGCCACTTTTTGCCTTCAATACTGCGGCGATTCTTCTTGGCATTGACTCCACGAGATGGTGAAAGGTGATGCGAGGAATCTGACACCATGCCTGATGAATAGCACTGTCCAGTTCTGTGAGATTTGATGGTTGTGGAACCAGCTGCCTGATGGCTCTGTCAACTTCGCCAAACAAATGCTCAATTGGAATGAGATCTGGTGATTGTGGGGGCCACCTAAGCATTGTAAATTCTCCCTCATGTTCTTGAAAACCACTCCGAGCACCGTGGCATGGCGCATTGTCTTGTTGGAAGAAGCCATCTCCATCGGGATACGCCATCAACATGATAGAATGAACTTGATAAGCAACAATACTTTGGTATGTTGTGCTATTCAGACGTTGTTTCACACGAATTAAAGGGACCAAATCATGCCAGGAAAACATGCCCCAAACCATAACACTGCCCCTACCAGCTTGAAGGGTTGTACTCATGCATGTGGGGTGCATGCTTTCATGCTGTTCCTGCAAAATTCTCACTCTGCCTTCTGCATGATGCAACTGGAAACATGATTCATCTGACCACATGACTTTTTTCCAATGCTTGACTGTCCAATCTTTGTGTTCCTGTGCGAATTGGAGACGTTTTATCTTGTTAACTGCAGACAGCAAAGGTGTTTGAACAGGCCTTTGGCTTCCATATCCCATACGATGCAGTGTACGGCAAAGAGTGTGTTCAGAGATCATTTGAGAGGATCCCTGATTAAGACCTGCAGTCATTTGATGCACTGTTGACCTTCTGTTGTCTTGTACCAGTCTTGCCACTCTCCATTCTGCCCTAACATTGACTAGTCGCTGACGGCCACAATTCGCACGTTCAGACCCAGATTTTCGGCTGACAGTCCAGTCTTGAAACACTTTAACAACAGCTGTTCTTGAACATTTAACAAATTCTGCTGTTTTGCTGATACTCGCTCCATGGCTCTGAGCGCCAACAATCATCCCACGTTTAAAGGCATTTATAATGGTCTGGCCCTCTAGCAACTTCAGCGCGAAATTATAGCTAATTTGCCTACAAACGTCAGGTGGTCATAAAAATCTGGCCACTCAATGAATAGCCAAACATTAAAGGAAAACTAGAATGGTTGTGAGTCATTTTTGTTCTAGATGTTTTCTTGAAGTTTTATTCTGGTCAAAAATATATTTTGCTTATGAGATCCACATTGCTAACTTATTTTTTAATTGCATAAAAAACAACCTACCGTGTTTCCCCGAAAGTAAGACCTACCCCGAAAGTAAGACCTAGCGCTATCTTCAGGGATTTCTGTAATATAAGTGGGGGAGCTCGACAGCTGCAGCCAGGTAGTATTTTGCGCCCTGATCCTGACAGTTTCCAGAAGACAAGGCTGCACATCTACTACTGAAAATCCATCAGTATTGTTAGCCTTCCATTGCAGCATCACCCCTCAGATTACAATGCTGCCTGTTACATCAGTGCTTCCTAGGATACAGCAGTGTAGAATTGTCTAGCAGTAGGGCAGTTTTAATAAGGGATAATAGGCCTAACTAGTGTATGCCTAATTTTATTTTATCTATGGAGATGGGGGAGGGGGGGTGAATGTAAGTAATATGATTTGAGGTGGGTTAGGTGCACACTTTTCTTGCACTTTATTTTTTTCCCTATCAAATGATGCAGTGGTGTGCTGCAAACAAAAAGCAGCTCAAAGAACAGATGGTCAGTAACAAGTGAATGCTCTGCTTTACTTTTTTTACTTTACTTTTTTTGTATGTAACCCTCCATCATGCTTGTCTGATAGCATGGTGTCAGACTACATTGTAACAAATGTAACAGTGCGTGTTACATTTTAAATATTGTCCTTACAATTAGAGTAGTACTCCAGACTAAGGTTTTATTTTGTGTGGCATGAGGAAAGGTTAGAACCTAAGGTTCTGTTTCTATCCGTGTGCCCACTGTGCAGGACGTATCTAAAAATTTGGTAATAAACCCAGAATATTGATGGTGAGTATTGCAGTCAGATCCAGAAAAAAGGCTGGAGTTGTGCTTTAGCCACTCCTGACAATGTCATTGATTGCCTTAAACCCTACCACTGTCACTTTGGCAGGACAGCTTGGTCTTTCTGTATATGTGTGGAAAAATAAACAAAATTGCATGTGAAATAAAAAAAAAGAAATAATATGCTCCATTCTATAATAATACATTTAAACCACATATAGTTAGCAGAATATTTTTTTCTAATAGTTTTCCTGTGAGAAACACACTTGATAGCTGAAACTTGGTAATTATAAATGCCTTCCCGATCAGAACTAAACAAAGACTTCACTGCTTACCCATTGATATTGTCCACACAGCAGCAATCTTCATCATAGCTTTAGTGCGAGAATTGAAGCGGCTGTGCTCTATGGGGTTACGTATTGCTACATATCGATCGAGAGAAATAGCACAGAGATGCATGATAGATGCAGTAGAAAATAATACATCCAATGAGATCCACACAGGACATAGCTTCTGGGGCAAAGGCCAGGCATAATCTGCAGTGGAAAATGAATTGGACAGAAAATACAAATCAAAAGTCTTAAAAATTAAAAATGGATACAAGAAATAATCAAACATATTTTATGTGACTGCCTTTAACAGCCTTTATATACAACTCTAGTCATAAATGCCCATAAACTGTAACCACCCTTTAACCCCCTTCATATCCAAAGGGTCACTGAAACCTTTGTGACCAGATAAAATATTGTAGTTTTTATGATTGAGAAACAAAAGTGTTTACATTTTTAGATTTAAAGGCATTAGGCTTTGTCCTCAAACTGTATCATGCTACAAGTTTATTGGCTTTAAAATTGTTATCAAATCATACCAATTATAAAAGTAGATACCACAGGGTATTAGTGTTAGCAATGGATCTGTGATGGCTATGCATTGTAGTGCATCACAATTCATAGCAATGCAATGCCATGTGTCATGAGTACTGCATCAGAACAAATGTTTCACATACTTTTTTTGTCCATTTTTGTACGTTAGCAGCCCATTCAAAATGAATGGGCTGCCTTTGCACGTCTCACATTAACCTGTGATCTTTAT